TTAAATTGCACAAATTACTTCTCCGTGGGAAGGTAAAAAGGCCTACGTGACTTCTCCACAACATATTCCTAGACATCCCGTACAATCAGGCATCAACCCTACTCCTCATTTTGCTGCACTCACTGATCCCAATATCCTCTTAAATTTAGAAATAGCATCAAGCATAAGCTACACATATTCACCACGGTGGCAACAAACTTCGCTGGTGGAATTACCTTTAGGGGGAGATACCTGGAGAAAAGGCATCCCACTACGTGCTMTCTTACCAAGCAAAGATGGTTCCTTGCACAAGGTACACTGATCTTGGAAAGATCAAAGTTTACTTGCAGTTGCCAAAAGTATATAAATAATTAAATAAGGTAAACAGATATCAAGACAGCTTAAAAAAAATGGAGAAAAAATGTAAAATTACATTTTCAGGAGTCTTTTGGGGCACTTCAGAATCTAAGACATTTCAAAAACAAAGAACAGTGACTTGGATACAGGTTCTCTGTCCTCTACAGCTCCAGCTATGTTCAAGCATAAACATCATTTAGAAAGATGTCCCTCATTCCATGTCTATTCTGTTAACGTAAGAAAAAAATGGGAAAAAAACCCTCCAAAAATAATACAATTCCCTTTATCTAAACTGCAATTCTGCAGGATTGCCATGAACATCTGGGAAGACTTTAAAAGATATATTTGATTACCAAAGAAATAATGTGAAACTCTCCCATGTAAACTTTTTCATTCATCTGTCGTTTTGTCACCTCTGCTGATAATCAGTCTACCCCATAAAAGCTAAATCTTTCTTTAAAAGAGGGAAAGCCCGTGCTCAGTATAAAAGATGCACAATCACCAACAAGCATAATTTCCCAGGTTTCACTGGACTTCCAGCACTTGTTATGCTACAATGAAAGCTGAGACCTCTCCCTTGGGTTTTCTGTAATTTTTCACTGACTCAGTAATTTCAAAACACCGAAGACTAAAATTTAATATGRAAGTAGATAGCCTGGTGCATTAAAAACCCATGCTTGTAAGAGTCTAGAACTGTTAAACTTCCAATAAACAGCTGTTACCAACATGGAACATAATGGTATTCTGCGACTGGTGGAGGAAGCCATTTCCCTCGTAGGAAGACATTTTCTAGCAATAAGGCAGTAAAAAAACCCAAAATTCCTCATGCTCAGCTGCTTCTTCCTCTCCCCCCAGACCTGCTTTCACCTCTGCTCTCAGCCGTAACAGAACTTTATCTAATTTCACAGGTGTAGTATTTTTATCTTTATAATAACCAACTGATGCCRCAGTGACTTTACCACAGACTCAACAAGTGAAAATCTAATGCAGAGAAYGAAAATTCTTGTTCAAATAGAAACAGCAGAAATAATTGCAAATAATTGCAAAAGTAAAGCAAATGAACAGCCARGCAAATTAATTCCTTTTTGAATCATCGTTCCTGTTTTCCAAGTCCAAATGATGCTCTATTCCTATTCAGGAAGCCTGRGGGGATGAAAAAGTGTCCAAGATGGTGAAATTAAAAATTAGCTACTGAGCATGAAACATGCAATAATTGCATTTCATAACATTTTTATTGCCTCAATGTAGTATGAATCACTTCACAATTCCACAGTGTTATGATGAAAAAAATGACACCAATAAAGCCTAAACGATTAATGTTATGACTTCATCAATCCCAGACTAAAGGCATGCATAGAATGACAAATATTTTCAAGAATACGTTTTGGAAACCACTGTCTCACTCTGAAGAAGCACAAATTTCATTTTTACAGATGTCTGAAAAGTGGCCATTTTCACATCAGAAGATGGAATATTGAAATAATCCTGAATATAAGTTCATATGAAAGAACTTTGCTTTCTCTTTGAGAAACTGTCCAAGCTTTGTTTTCTCAAGAGTTACAAATGGAGCTAATACACACTAAGGCTGCAGCTGCCAGGGCTGTATTAGTTCAGAACATKCTCACTCCTTTGAGGTTTTGTGCCAGGACAGTATCATTTCAACAACAAACTACACTTACCTTGACTTTTTAAAAGCCTACAATTTCTGGCATGAAGCTGAATTAGCTTTACAATTTCACCTAATATGAAAAAAAAGTTCAACTTATTGACATTTAAAACTTAAAACAGAAATAGGATGAGAATCTACACTTAAGACAACAAAGCAGCCATGTAGTAATCCATCAGATACAACATCAAAGGTACAGTGCAAGGAAGTTCTCTCCTGCAGGGTGACTGTACTTTCTTTTGACAGCCCTGCTCAATAGCTACCCAAATACAACCTCATAAATTCCTTCAATTGATAGTTCAACTTGGATGTGACTAAATAAATAAGAATTGTAGTCTGTATTAACAAAAAAGAAACAAMCAAACTTCCATCTCTTTAAAGCATCTCTAAATCCAGACTTGTTCTGTTATGGCCCAATCTGACTATTTTTTTTTCCTCTCCTTAAGGAAAAGGAAATATGAGCTTTCTTTTTAATTGAGTTGCCAGGCATCTCGACTGTGGTATTAAAACCTCTGTTCTGATTCTTTCTTTAATATAATAGCTCATTTCCCTTATAAAATCATTAATGGAAAATAAAGATCTCTTTGTTAACTCTAATCTCACTTCCTTGCAAGTGTGCCAGAGGCACTTTAATATGGATCAAGTCATGAATATTACAAATTACAGTGGCAATGTGTGGCAACAAAGGACTCAGAGTATTCATATAAACTAATACCTTCTTCTTTCTTCAAGGAAAAAGGGTAAACAGCATGCCCTGATCTTTCTGGACAAAACAAAATCAGTTACTCTTCTATCTCTTTTTCTCTGATACRTCTAAATCCCAGTTTACCCAATGAAATAATAGCACAGCGCAAATGATGAACCTGATATAGGATGTAATAAAACTTATTTCACTTCATGTAGAAATTCCGTACTGTTTCATGTGATGGATAGATAATGATAAAGTTAAACTACAATAGGACAACTTTAGGAGGCATTAGTTTTGCATAAAGTTTCCTCTGGCAGATTTATGGGAGGTGCACTATGAGCAAACCAGAACTATGCACAGACAGGTGCAATTACAGAAGAATTAATGTACCTGCAAGAACAGCATTGACCATAAATGCAATATCAAATAATGAAATGAAATTCACAGTAAATTTGGCAATCACTATTTCAATTCAGAAAAGCATACTCTATTGAAGTGTATATTTGTCCTTGAATAATACTGGAAAACATGACGACTGTGGCCTATTTGCCTATTTAAAACAAAAAGGCTGGGAAAGATTTGCAGCTTTTACACAAGATTCACAGAGAAGGAAAAGAGAAAAAAAAGTAATGACAAATTTTAAATACAAAAATGTTATTTGTATACAACTGCTATCCATTACAGTCCCTACACTCCTTGCCTGACAGCTACAGTGTGTGCAAAACCGTAAAGAAGTCAAGCCTTGTGTGCTACCCAAATACTCCACTGAAACTCTGCTTAAAGGGCTGTCGACTGGTGCTGGGGTGACCGAAACTCCCAAGAAAACGTGAATAAAGATTTCAGAGATACCTTCTCCCAAAGAAAAAATAAAATCCTACTGCAATGCRCACCATTTACATTTGACGGGACAAACCTGTCAAAAAGAAACCCTAGAAAGATCTTGCAGGTTTTGCAGAAATATCAAGAATTTCCAATATTGTGGGATACAAGTTACAGTCCTAACTAATTAAATTCTAATCTGCCCTTTTCAGGAATCACAAAGCGCTATCTCAAACAGTCTTATGCTATACTCATTTTATTAGAAGTGCAGTGCTATTTTCTCATTAAAGAATCTGCTACAGTAAAAACATGTTAGCACTAAAGCCATAAAAGACTGAGAAAAAATGGTTACTTTTCCTAATTTTGCTTTAAAAACCATTGCACGTTCACAAGTCTTTGCCTGAAATACGGGATTTGCTCTTTTAAATGTTTCTTCAACGTTATCCTTATTTTGTTCTTTAATTAATAAAGGGATACACACACCAACATTAAAACCACTAATTTACTATTTGGCATCCCGAATTAGGGAGCATAAACATTTATGCTCTTCACTAACCAGTACCTAAGACCMGTTTGAAATAGAAAGGGGCAAGCCAGGCTGCCAAAAGCGCAGTCTCAGAATAAGTGTAAGCCTTTGCAAAGACATTCCTTTACCTGTTCCCAACTACTGAATTTTCACCATCTCCCTTCTATTGCCACCAACCTCTATGAAATGAACCTGAAAATCTGTGGCATATGACAAATCTGTATAATCTGAAGAGGCAGTTTAAGGGAAGGGACGTGGGGTTATGGGCAGAGAAAGTCGGACAAACTCTCCTGGTAGGATTATGTACTTAGGCTTAAGTCAGTCAAGAAGTTGCACCTTGGAAAGAATTAAACAAATATTAGTGTTCTGGATTAGGACATCATTTCAGCACATATGGCACTATGGGAAGAGAAAATAAGCTCTTTTCTTTACCCCTATTCATCCCGAAACAGGTATGAAAGTTAGCACTTCTCTCCCTTCCWTTGCAGCCCTTAAAAGGATCCTCACACCACTCCTTTCAAATCATCATAGAGGACATTTATAATAACCTTAACATTTGAGTACACCAATGGTAAAGGACGATGATAAGAMATTTTAAATTTCTCCAAGTGCAGCAAGCAGGATTTCAGCAGCAGAAATGGAATAAATAATGGTACTCTAGAAGAGATGATCCAAAACGCAGATAACCACACCTGTGCATGTAAAATAAATGGAAATTTAACTGAGATTATCAATATAACAAATCTTYGAGATTGATCAGATATTATTCTTTTTCTTTTAATTCATCGGTCCCAAGTTCTCTCTTCAAGCCTTATTCTCAAAATCCTTCACAAAACAAGGCATAAGGTTATTTTCATTCCATCAGAAAAAGGTGTAACCAGACCCAAAACTAATTATTCCGTATGTCTCTGCATCAAACAAACCACAAGTCCAAACTCAACAGAGAAAATGATGTTCTTCTAAGCTAAATTTGTGCTAAAAACACCCACTGTTAACCCATGGGTTCAGAGGAATTGGTATTAAGTTGTATATTACACATAATTTGCTTACAACGGCAATCTTTATATGTTTTGAAAATGCAAATAACACTAAGAATGCAGTGTTTCAAGAACTACAATAYAGCCAAACCAAACAGCTTTGGAGCAGAAACAAAAATCTGAAAGGTGCCTTTGTGCCCMAAAATAAATCTTTTAGATATTTTTTTCTTTTCTTATATATAAATTATCATGGTCTTACAAGTTATAGCTTTAGGTTTGTGGGTTTTTTTTTTAGTTTCAAGTATGACACTAATGGCAATCAAGTTATCCAAGATAATAAGTGAAAAGGCAGCACTGTTTGTGGGTTTTTGACCAAATATATTGTAAGAGATTGAAACAAAGTTTTATAAAAACAAATGATTAAAATTTCAGTTCAGAAAGACACTTTGTAAAATACAATAAAACCCTTTTCAATATCAAAGTAGATTTTGTACAGATCTTTCTAAGCAGATGTTTACTACAGCCCAGTTGAACTAACTCCAATAAAACAAGACGTAGGTAAAAAGGGTTGGTGTTTGCAGAAATACAACCTATATACAAAACTGCAGGTAACATACTGCAACTCATTGGAAAAAACTTGGAAAAATCCACTCTGTTTCACCGTGAGTGGACTTATAATCGATCTTATATCATTTAAAATCAGCTTACACTATAGAAAGGCTTATCACAAAACAAAAAAAACAGACTGAGAGTCACCCTTAAAGCCAGATTCTCCCATCAGCAAAAATCAGCACGCAAATCAAAAAACAACGCTTAAGTAAAACACTAAGACTTTATGAAAAATCCAAAATTTATTGCAAATTGTACTTTGCACTTTCCCTCCTTTCTTCATTTTTACATGATTTATTGATATCCATGATTTTTTCACAGATGTACTTGTTGACTTTGGAGAGTCTCTGTGCAATTTCAGTTTCATCCACAGTTTCTTGTGCTATTCTATCATACAAACATTCTGGGGAGAAAAAAAAAAAAAGAAAGAAAAAGCTATTAGGATTATTTTTAGAAAAAGACCGTAACCCTCTGTTGGCCTCACGACCCAGCAGACAGCAATAAGCACTGTGTATATTTGTTGCAGCACAAAGGAAGCTTTCACTGACTCATGAACTATCTTTGTTAGAAGCAAGATTTTTCACCAGGTTTGAATTTTTGATATGACAAACTCTCAGTTTTGCTGAGACTACATGAACAGGCTTTCTATACAGAAACAAGGCTAAATCCAGCCTTTTAACAGTGCCAGTCTTGTCTGCCTAAATCTTCTATTTGTCCTTATCTCCACAGATTTAAGAATCTTCCTCCAGGTGYAGGGTCTCACTAGAACTGTTGTTATCTAACATTCCCTATGAGTCACTCTTTTCATCCTACCTTCAAGACAACAAATAAGTGGTGTTAGGAGAAAACATTAATTTAATAAAAAGATATAAAATTGCATAACGTACATTACAGTGTCTGCATCTTTATCGCATGTCCCACCCCTGGTCTTTGTACTTTGCTTGCATTATAAGAGTATTTGGGGCGAGACTGATCTCGTGGGTTTGCACAACATGCTTTGGAGAACTGAATGGAGTATCAAAAGCAATGAACCAGTATCGACAAAGCAGTGAGTACAAGGAGGGAAAACCCTGCTCCCCACAGTTGGTAGCTCTGCATCTGGCAGGATCCAGCACACGTTAGTGAAAGCAGAGATGGGGCAACACATCCAGCTCCCTAGGCATTAGACACAGGCAAGGTTTTTTTTTCTTTTTTTTCTTTTTTTTCCATAACCAGGAGAATGCATTTTGTTGCATAGACTACTAGTAATAAACAGCTCCCAAGATTGATTAAACAAATTCTTTTCTGCTTTGCCTAGTAATCTATTCCAGTAGCCATTTATTGCTTCATATAGAGAAAGCCTTAGAGATTATCACTTAATTAACATGGTTTATAACATTTCTAATGCATCGTATTAAAAAGTTATGAAAGTTAAGTACTATGTATGCTTTGTAGTTCATTTTGAAGCCTCTCCAAAGTTTTATAAAAGGTTATTTTGCATTAAGAARGTTTATAACAGTGCTCATACATCATACTTTTTATAACTTCTTTATAATATACTACACAATAGGGATTTTTTAAGAGGCTAGAGAAATCAGACACATTAAAAGCTAACACTGACATTCAAAAATTTAAATAAGTTAGTCCATGTCCACAGAAAAATGAGAACATCTTGAAAAATGTGAATTTTATATTGCAAAATATACTGAATATAAAATAAAATCAATCAACATGCAGCCTGATAGCTGGAATGCAAATCATCAGTAAACTATGATTTGAAATATGATCCCKAGGAAGACACATGTCAATGAGAACCTGAAGAGACACAGTGTGGTTTTAGGGCATAAATTTTTACTACAGCAATCTCAGGAATACTCCATAAAGTTTGTATCATATAAACCTAGGGAGCTAAGCTTCCCGTAAGATGYAGGCTGTGTTACTATCTTATTCCAGAGAAGAAATCACTTGATAGAACTTATACATCATCTGTGCGTCTAAAAGTCATGGTGATCCAGACAGATACATGATGTTTCTTTCGCCCCCTTATCTTTCATTTCTGTGAGGGGCTACAGATGCAGCAACTCAGTAGGTGACACGAGGGTGTTGGTTCAGGGACTTCAACGAGGGATTCGGAGGTTCCACCTTGGATACCCTTTCCTATTTCTGAGGGGAGCAAAGCTTTAAGCGGACTGTAAAAACTAGAATGGACCTTTATTTCTTGATGTGACGCCTGATTCAAGATTCTGGCCAAAGAAACTAACTTCCTAGCATTTCACCATTTGCTACTTTGTTTTGTGTCTCCASGTCTCTGTAATTGGATGACTTGTCAAGCATCACTTCCAAAGCTTCAGAAAACACTGCTGGCGAAATGGGGCAAGACCTGTTAGCAGACGTGCAAGTGTCACAGTACAAGGTAACACAGTGCCAAATGACACAAGGGTGGTTATGTGCTACCCAGTACTGCTGATCTAGGAAGTCCTTCCGCTGCCCTCCTGTTGCTGCTAAACACCTACCTACCTCTATGCCTTGGGTAAAAGAAACGCTTGAAAGAGAAACATAGAAAAGCAGGAGTGGAACAGGAAGAAAAAAAGAAAAAAAAAAGCAAATGAAGGTAAATGCTGACGAATGCAATTCAAGGAAGAGGAAAAAGGGAGGACTTCTTACCATGTACCTGATGGAAACCACTCCCAAGCTCACTCTAGTCAAAACAGGATAAGTTTGAAGAAAACTATCATTCAAAAGATTTAAGCAGGCTGGGTCTGACTGAAGTCCAAGAGGAAACTCTCCTAGAAGCAACTCCAACAGCAATGTTGAGGAGCAAAAGCCTCCAACAGGAGACTGAGAAAGACGGTTGCAATGGGCCAGTAAAGGTGCTTTTTGTGACTGCCTGCAAGTGTGCAAGCYGTACTTGGGGTAGCCAGCTCCCTCTTGTCTTAGGAGCTGAGGGGACTGCCCCAGCCCCAGACTACAATCCTTACAGGGCAGCAAGGATGTCCTTACTTGACTACTGGTGTTAGGATTGTGCCAAAAAGTCCCAGTCAGAACTAGAAAAGCAGTATGGAACAGCATGTGCTTCCAAGTTTATTTTTGAAGCAGATTAGTTAAATGAAAAAAAAAAAAAATCTTCTACTTTTCTTACTCTGTAAGAAGTAAGCAGTAGTAAGAAGATCACTTTCTCCCCACCCAACACACACATACACACATAAGAAGGAATCATATTTCCTGCTTTCAAGGCAGATTACAAGAGTTCATAGTTTAGAGCACAGGGCAACTAAGAACAGGAAATATAGAATAATGAAGCTCACTGAAATTGCAGAAGAAACTTTAAGAAGGAGACTTCTTTCAGCCCGACTGGAATTTAGGCTGAACACAGAACCTACAAATCTAATTGATGTGTATTCCATGAGGAACTGACTCAGTTTTGACTTAAAAAGAAGCCTGAAATACCAAAAGAGACAGAACTGAATGTAAAACACAAGCACAATGATACAAAGGGACTGATATCACCATTCATTTCAGATAAAGGATAGGGCCTGCTTGCTCTCCCCAAGTACTACAAAGTGCAAGTAACTGAAAGTGTTGCATATTTTCTGTCAGATAGRTCAGCAATTTGCACTTCCTATTCAAACCACCTTTTCTACTAATCACATTTYCTCCACTTTAGCTACTAATATTTCTCTCTTTTGCAAATATAGATGTATTTTTAAAGTTGGTGCTGTAATGGTCTCTGTGCCTCACACGAGAGTTGGTTACATTCTGGATAAAAGAATGTGCTAAGATTACTTTCAGGCTTGTAAAAAGGCAGTGTATGCAGTTAAATCATTATCTTACAAAAGTAATTCCAGGATAATGTCCTGCTCTCCAGACTCAAAGTCCTGTCCTGCAGGTGGTTTAAAATGATGATCTTCTTGAATCTTACTGAAATCAAGGTACAACTCTCCACCTGTGAAGGCTTGCACTGTGTCCAGCTATTGCAATGTGTCTTTTAATCTTTTTTCATGGATATGTATGCACTTCAAAGATGCAATAGCAACTTTAATTACACTTTTTAATTAGTTATTTTTATATGAGCTGAAAAGAAGCATCTTTCAACTCTATGATTAATGGTTAAACTCCAAAGCAGGAAGGAAAAGTTTTCAAATAACCTACCTCTGACAATGCTTAATTTGTGAGGTGAGAGAGGTGGCTTGGGAACGGCATCTTTCTTTTTTTTGGTTGCAACTCCTGTGACACTTCTGTTCTTGAGAACATCTGTTCCCCAAATCATAACCGCTAGATTTTTTGTATACTTTGAATCTCCTTGTGTTACTTGCAGCTGGTGCCATTTCTCCTCATCTACCCAAATTCCACTGCCAAGATGGACCTAGAAGGTAGTAATAATAACAACTTATCTATGGTATACAGCACACGACAGTATCCAAGTGCTATAGGAACATTAGTATTAGGTACTATAATAACAGTAATTAGGGTTGAACAAATTCATTTTGCCTATTTCTGAATCTCCTCCAACTCTGTGGTTCAGGGAGTTCAAGTCAACCTCATATATTACACAGTTCCTGCTTCTTTTGTTCTCAATTCTTCTTACTCTCTACATTTTTTTCCCTCTCCATTCTCCAATATAATATCTCCAGAGAGGCTATGGTCAGGAAGAGAAATAGAAGAAAGAAACAGTAAATACACAAAGTAATAAATAGCTATGCACAGCATACAAACCAAGCAGTTGTGCCAACCTAATTTAGGAATAGGAGAGAAAATACTCTCTTTAATACGAAGGCCTCCTTTTGGCTGAAATAGACTCAGCTACCCAAAGCATGTTCAGAGGGGGACAGTGAGGGAAATGCTGCCTAAGTCAAATTCTATACCGGTTGGCAAAATTCATCCTGATGCTTTAAATTATCTAGAAGGATGGAAGACATTTTGAGAGCTCCAATATCAGCAAAAACCAAGAGAGTTTGGAAGTTCTATAAAACTCAAATTCCATTGGGAAGTTTGCGTAGTGTGAAGTCTACCCAGATGTGGGAAGGCAACAACACTGCTGCAACGCTACAAGCTTTCCACTATTCAGACAACGCTGGACAGAGTTATTCCATCAGGGCAGTAAGTTTGGCACAACAGACACTGGGAAACGCAGCAAAAAGCCAGAGGATAATGCACAATCTAGCTATTCTAACCACAGGTAAGACTTCAGTGCACTGGAAAAGGTCCAGATAGGATTTATTTTCAGATAATTCTTTAAAAGAAGACCAAATCAACCAAACAAACGTATAAACTGGATTCATGTATCCAAAATTCAGGTTTCACAAAATCTGATTAGAGTTGTTTTTCTTTTTCCACTATTAGTAAAATGTTACTTATTATTTAAAAAAAAAAGCTATGACAAAGGTATACTGGAGAATTTACTTGGCTTAGCTGTTTGGCTCTTAGTGTTTTGTTTTTCTACACATTTCATGTAAAATAACTTCAAACTGTATTTGCTACCCATAAGGATCTGAGCGGTACAACATAATTCCCATTAAGTTCACTGAAAATTGGAGAAAGCTATTGTAAAAAATTTATAAACCTATATTTTTACTGCCTTTATTTAACCAAACTTCCATTTTCCTTTAAATGAAAAGTTTACTTAATTATTATTGAGATATAGCCTGAAGTTTTTTTTTTTTTTTTTTTAAATTATGACAGCATACTTCAAAAAGTAGTTATTTAGAAACTGAAATACAGAAGTATGAATGGTCTGGCTATCAGCTACCTCATAAAAATGAATGAAAACCAACTTCCTCAAAATATAAGAACAAAGCAATTGCCGCTTCTGCAGAAATTTCTACACCAAGAAGGTTCTAAGAGGCTTTTCACAAGTCCACATGGTATCTCAGTTTCATAACAGACAGAAATGGAACTAGCAATGAGCACAACATGAGCAGCCTTTTTATTCTGTCTCTATTGTTGAGCCTCTTCATAACTGCTTTAAGAATTTGCACACTTTTGGTGCTCTCARCGTATTTTGAAAGGCAATTTCTTGTGTGAGTGAGCAGTCTGTGCTCAGAAAAAAAATCACCTTGCAGGATTTTATCTCAGTTATTTCTGTTCTGATCTTGGAAAAGTCACCTCTACAAATGAGCATAACAGTTATGTAGAAAGTAACTAAGATTAGAAGCTTTGTGACATGCTACATTTTGGACTTCTGCATTCAATTAATACTAGAGATTGTTCCATTTAATCAAAAATCTGATTCCCTTTGTCAAGATTAGGGCTTGTCTTTGATGAAGATCACTTAGACTCTTAAGCTACAGAGCCTCACTTGAAGTTCCTTTAAAACAACAGGTTACAGCAGAAAAAAAATTAACGTTCATGCTTCAAACAGACCATCTAGTCTTTGAACATGCTTCATTTATTAAAATCAAGTCATCATTGACATGAAACACCTAAGGTAACAGCAGCTCCATGACAGACAGCCACAGCAACTGCAATCTTATGTTTCTTTTCTATTTCTAGCACTCCTAGGACAAGGAACTTTATCTTCCCATGTCTCAGTTTACTRATCTGTTGGTACTGCTTCCTAGTACTCCCAAGGCTATTGGAAGTCTACTGTACTCCAGATTTGGAAGTACTTTCTTTCTTGCTGGATGGGACAGGTCTTTGGCTTGATGAAAACCACAGGAACTTTATTTCAGCAGCTGCAGGATTAACCTTCAAGCATAATGCAACAAAAATAGGAGCAAATTCAAAGCAATGCTCACCGCTGTAACTGTACTAACACATGCAATACATTTAAACATATGTTAGAAGTGTTTTTTTTTTTTTTTTTTTTGAAATTAATGCCATTCTTTTTCAGTAATTCCATTCCATCTCTACAGGAGAGAGATCTTTCTGATGGGAGAGAATCCTACTAACATCAAATTCAAAGTATAAGGTTTCTAAACCACTATGTAGMAATGTACATCAATATAGGATTAATGAAAAGGAAAATAAATGAGATACACCTTGAGATGGCTGAAAGCCCCTAAAAYAGGCAAATGTAGAAACAAACCTACATTACAAAAAGAAAGTTAAAGTGATTTTGATATCTGTCAAGACAGAGAAAACTTCTGTAATACAAACAAAAAGAAGCTGGCAGTAATGGCAGAAGAAATAAAGGTGTGGAAAAAGCTACACACAAATATTTAAGGAGGTGCCCTATCCCACCTACTGCAAACATAGTAAGTTTTCATTGACAATAAAATACATAAAAAGTAAAGGAAGTATGTTAAATGTACTAGGCAAGAAAAGCTACCTGAACCAAATACCTGTCAGATTGCCCAAATAATACTATTTGTCGCATACATTTTGTCTGCACAATAATTATGTCAAAATTTATCTTCAATACACAGACATTTGTGTACTTAGTATTGTAACATAGATATGAAAATGTAGTATTTTATGCTACTCCATCACTAATTCTGCGGTATGTCAGGACTGAAATGGAAATTTTCTCCTAAAAGGTTCTCTGATTGTGGTACTGAATGCATGWATAGCCTGACACTCAAGATCTGCACAGGCAACTCTGAAGGACATAGGTTTTTTATAAAAGAAATACTATGTTTAATTTAATGATAATAGGAATAGCCATAAAAGCAGGCCTGAGTGGATGAGTAGACAGTATGTTAAACATGTTGGAGTCTCAAAAACTGTTAGACAGGCGTTGATAAACTGCAGCTGGATGGTATTTCAACAAGTCCATAAAAGCATCCAGAAAGTAACACCATTTCTATTCAACTCAATGGCAACTTTCCCACCAAATCCAGGGGAGCCTGTTTTCATTCCAGAGTTCAGAATTACCCACTAGACTCAAAAACAACCAAAGTGTGAAGGTTTCTCTGCAACAGGTGTAGAGCACACTGAAAATATTAAAGCTATTTTATTTAGATATATTTCTGTCAAACAGACTAATGGAACTTTACTGACTTAGGTATATATTCAGTGGTTTAAGTACGTCACCAATTTAAGACACCATGAATGTGCTAGTGCATTCATATTTACTAGCTATATTTGTTGTCTGGMACAGCACTGTCATCACTACAGATAATTTACAATGCTGTTTGTATTTGTKCACTTCCATCATTTTTCTCAATGTAAGAACATAACTTAATGAACGCTGAGTTTGCTATAGGCAACTAACCTTGCAATAACCCCGAGTTCATGAAAATTCTGTAAAAAAATCACCTGAAGAACATTTACAAACTAATTCATGCTATATTTAATTTAAAGTACCTTTCCATTCTCGAGAATATACTTGTCCATTACTGGAACAGGGGCAGGATAATACGTTGATGTATTTGCTTCCTCACTGAAGGTCTTCTGTACCTCAGGTTCGGGCTCAATTGATTCTGGTTTTACTTTTTCAAGCTCAATGGCAGGTCCTAGACAGTTAAGAAAAAAGAGCTGTCTGCTATCCCAGAGAACATGAAATAAATCACTTCATCACCCGTGGTTAGCATAAAATAGCACATTAGTCATGTTCATTTTAAAGTCAGAAAGGGTTCAACCCAAAATCCTACCTTTGAACATCAATAAATAAAAGCTGGATCAGTAATTTGGTTTTGTAAACATTTTAACATGCTTCATTTTAATTTGTTCAATTTTCTTCTTCATTCATATGGACAATTACAGATATGGGTAAGACTGCTTCAATGCACATTAAGGAAATTATGCTATAGCCACATTGTCTTTATAAACCAGAAGCAACAATAGTAATTCTTCAAATAAGAATTACTACATAGYTACTTATAAAACTATATAATTTACTGGGGTAATCATAAAATTACCTATTTAATTAGATAAAATCATTGTAAAATGTCTTTAAGTGTAATGGACATATTAAAAATATTGACGATAGGCAGAAATGCTATAAAGAAAACAGGCATAAGCTACTTATGCTAAAGTATCATGCACAGAAAGCATATCCAAAGTGAAAAAAAACCAAACATACATTAGGATTTTGATTGTCCAATCCATCCACCATACTGATTTTTATTTTAATGTGATCCAAAAAAAAAAAAAAAAAAAGCATAGCTTAAACAATAGAATACAATTAAGCATATGTTTGAGGCTCTAAAGGAACATGATTATTTTGTCAGTCATCGGCTTTTCTCTTCCAGACAAAATTTATAGTGTTCCTAAAAATGTAGAAGAGTAAAATAAAATAATCTGTGGACTGCATTTCATGACTAATTTTAATAGTTAGACCTAGTCTAGGAGGAGTCAAAGGTCCCAAGCCTATAGTCACCYCTTTCTGAACATGTCTCTAAGCTCCCAGTAAGCTCCAATAGTCTCTGAAGCTCCAGGTGGGGATGGCAGTTTGTTAAGCGAGCAAAAGTGGGGAGCTTAGGCCCTGGGCCCAGCACTAATCACGCGGCTCCAGGAGCTATAAGGGCAACTCACCTACTTGCAAGAACTACAGTGTGCCAGGTTGGTGCTGAGAGTGCTGCAGTACTCTAGAGTTCAACCTTGACATCGTCAATAAATGGCAAGGTAATTCAGGAATCGTTTCACCACCACGGATGGTCCCACCTCAGTGTTCAGACACTCAGACCAAGCCCTGACTTGACCTAATGCCRCAAGTCAACCTGTGGCATCAGAACTCGTGTGTCTTGAGTTACATACCTTAAATGTTTCCTGYTCATGGAACAACCAAAGAATCCCTTCCTCTTGCACTGTGCAGCTTCATTTACAGATAAAATAGTAGCAATGTTTCTTTCATTATCAGTGATGACATTTAGTTATAGCTCATTCTGCACCTCCCTAGCTAGCTAGGTGTGCTTATCAGACTGTTACTTGAGACACTCAACAAGAACTGGAAGCTCTTTAGCAAACTCAGACAACCCTATACTGCAGTGCCATAGACAATTCCTTAAGAGCAAACATGGCACAAAGAGAGAAAACACAGAAAACCAGCATTTACATTATAGTATCATAGTTATCTTAACAAGTACTATCAACATATAGGAACGGTAAGGCGAAAATAGATTAAACTTCAAACTTGACACTGCAATGAGATGCAGATGGAGGTAAAAACCTCGATCAGTTCAATCATTTAAACTCTTTGGGTTGGCAAACGTCAACATGAAGACATGTAAGGTAACTGCCAGCGTAAATTTAGGATGCAAAAATGAACTCTGAGCTGTTATTATAAGAACACACTCTTAAGCAAAGTGCTATTCTGAGTTTTCTTCAAACGAAAGCATCTTGCAGTCTGAGACAATTTGAGGAAGATCTCTAAGTACAATTACTTCTTCCTAAAAGGMAAAGTGTATTTCAGTTTAAATATTTTTACTACTCTCTACTTAGAAATCTTTCATAGTTTGTTTATAGTAATGTATTGACACAGCTGCAATTTGGATTCCAGAATTCCCAAAAGAAAAATAGCTGATTAAAGTTCACAATAACCATAGCTCTAACAGGCCAGAAAGATCTCTATTTTAATTCATGTTCTACTGCTGAGAAGCCACCAACAAAAAGCCTTGAAATGTCTTCTCTCATACYCCAAAAGCCTACTGATTTTTCTTTTTCCTGAACAGAAAGCTACCTCTACCTGGGCAGTCTTCACATCTGCTTTTAYCACCTTGTAATGACTGCATTTTCAGCCCAACACGTGAATCAGACATGCAGCCTCCATCACTGCTTTGCTAATGATGGGAAGCGTGTGTCTAATTTACTATGCCCCAAGCTTTTAAAGTCCTCTCTCTGCAGCTCTTGGGCTCTCCTTATTTTAAAGATGATGAATGGCCAGGGGTATAGARATGTAACCACCTAACAGCTTAACAAGGGTAGGATTTATTACAGAAGGATCACACGAAAATTAAAGATAATTCTTAAGAATGCAAAAGGGAAGAAATGTTTCAATTACAAATATTTTTCCTTCTGTTCAGCAACGTTTTCTTAATTTTTAGAGGCCAGCAACTTCAAATGCAGCATAAAGTAGAAGGCTTCCCTTTATTACCTCTTTCTCTTCAAAATGCATCACAGACTACTCTCTGCTTAAAAAAGTAGCAAATAAACAAAGAAAAAAAAAGTAAATAAATGGGCCAGTACACTTTTCTAAACAGTAAGTTGTTTTTTCCACATTATCTACTAGAATTTGAATGAAAACAATAGGAATCTGGTAAACATTATTTTATATATGGTATTTCCCATGCTCATTGTTAACAGAATTCTTAGATGCTTTTCATCAAGAAGCTAAAATAAAGATTATTAAACTTGAACTGCATGGCTTTTTTTTTTTTTCTGGAAACAACTAATTACAAGAAACCCAATTTTTATATTTTGTAATCCAAAGCATATTTAAAAATTGGCTTGGAAGAGTGATTTAATCCTCCAGATCATTTGCCAWAAATAAAACGAGATCAAACTAGTGCCTTGTCTGGTGTATCAACATAGAGAAAAGCTGCCAAGGCCTAAGACCCTGGGGTTTCCCGAGGGTCCAGGAGGGATGGGGAAAGAAGCCTTGGGGCCATGTATATTTTTTGGGGAGCTGAGGTGACAGGTGAGCTCCAGGACAGTGATTTTTCTCCCCTCTGCTCTGCTCCCTAGAGCTATGGGCAACAGCTTCTCTCCTTCAAACACCGATCTGTTGGGCAACCGCACATCAAAATCATAGAAAAAACCCTCAAAATTTCACAGTGAATCAGTACTAAGTTCCCTACTTTCTCTTCACTCCTTCCACTTCAAGGCTTTTTAAAAAACAATCTGCAATTCACTGTCACTGCATGAAAGGCTGCAAACCTCACTACTCCCTCACAGGAGAGGCTTAAGCTTTAGTAACAGAGGTGAAGACCCRGGTCTACAGTAAAGATACACGGGCTCCTAACTTGTCACGGAAATCACCATATTGATGGGAAATTAGGAGGCTGAATACTTGGCTGAATGCTGGCTCGAGAGGCAGCTCTATTTGATCTGCCAGTTGAAGGCAGCAACAGGCACGCACTCGCCACAGCTGCGATTCATCAGCACAAAACAGCTGTCACCTCATGCGAAGAAACCCAAAGCCTCTAAGGTGAACCCAAAATGCAATTAGTTTGCATTAAGTCCAGCCTGCTGGGAGTACGGCCTACGTTACATGGCATTTGAAACTCCGGGTTTCACAGATCACCACAACAACTGCACATACATTCAGCATATAACCTATTTTCTGAACAATTTGCACATACTGTTCCAATACCCACGTACACCTCATTTCTAAAGCTAGAAGGGGATGGAGACCAAAGAAGTCTTTACACATCTGTCTCTTGATTATAAGAACTACTTTTTTGCACACTATCATGAGAATCTCTAACTCGTAATTTGCTGCAGCTATCTCCCATATCTAGTCATTCATAAATTTTACGTTGATCTTTCCAGAAGCTGGCTGTTTCTCTACTAATAAGAAATAAAAAGAACCTACCTCTGCATCGTTCTAATGTTAGGAGCAATAATAACAAGGGATATTTTGGGGAGTTCCTTGGACTTGGTGTTTGCCCRGATATGTGCTCAAATTTGAGGAAAAAACATCTTGTCTCGATGTAATCCAGACTTATTGCCAGTTGAAAAACAGGTGCCAGATTGATACAATGGAAAATCAAGTCCAACAGTCAGAGAMAAGATTCAGCATTTTTCAAAGGCTGTGTTTTTTCCTTTCCGAATTCTCCTAAGTCTCAATTCAAAGAAAAATTCCTTCAAGGCAGAGAAGGGGGAGCATTCAGAGGCCGTTTTCATTTCACTGCTGGTCTCACCACCRAGACAGCTGTCAAGTCTACCAACTAAACTGGTATTTTACAGTGTTCAGCCCCACTGCCTACAAACATCTGGCTGGTGCTCCATTCACATAAATTCCAGCTAACCACTTGCAGATGAAGAAATAGCTTTCCATCCAAGGAAAATTTTAGAAAGCTCAGTGGAATCTACTGCCAACCACACCATGTTTTTTAGATTGTGGAAACCTCGCCTATTTAATTTTATTAAAAAGCTAGCTCTAATGCTTCTAACAAGTAACGACATTTTCATTATGCACAGCGTAGCAATGAGCAGCATTCATTCACAGTAAAACATCCGGGTTAAACCTCTCAGAGGCTACTTTGAAAAGCTGGCTCCGACCTTGCAGGCCCAGGCGAACGCATGCGACAGCTCAGGCACATGCTTGCTCAGACTCGGCTCTGCAGGGGAAGGGAACCCAATGGACATGCAGACTGCAGGCATTCCTCCAAGCCAAGTGGAAGGGCCAATGCCCAACGCACATGCAAAAATTAAATTCCCAGATACACAAAGGCAGACGTAAGGAACGGCATGCTAAAGTCGGGATGCACAAAATTCAAACAAGTTTCAATCACCAAGCAAATCGCCTTCAACACACATTCTAATGGCAAATAAATATAAATTAGTAACATATTTGAAGGTATTCCAAAGGGTATCATCTTCAATGAGAAGGATGAGCTTTTTATTGTCTTTTTTTTCCCATTTATTCCAACATAATGGTTAAATAAATGTTATAAACCAAAACAAAAGAGCAGTTGACTCAAGATACTTAAAATTTAAATCCAAGTAACATAAAGTTGTATTTTGTAACAAGTGTTTATATAAAGGGACACTAATCAAAAAATGCTTTTYCTTTATGCTTTAACAATCCATTCTTTTTCAAATAGCCTGGCTGCTGAAAGCCAATGCCAAAAAGTTCTGAAGTATATCGTGTTCCAGTGAGCTACTAGAAAGGAGAGAGGGCAGAAAATGTAAGGTAACACAGTGTCAGTAATATAACAATAATAATTAAAAAAAATGACTGAAAGGAACAAAATTGTTTTGCCCCAAATATTCAGTTTGCTGCCTTTTATGTTTTTTTAAACCGGAACATATTGGTGTATTATGCAGACGAAACTTTATTATCTTTTCCAGCATATTCTAGAAATTCAGAGGCCCTTTAAAATACAGCTGTTTAAAATGGAACCTGATTCCACCATATCAGCACAAAGACCTCTTGCTATCATTAAAGAAAAACCCAGAAGTACACATTATACAAATTCAACACATATTGTACAGCCGTAGCAGAAAACCCTTTTAACATTCTATGTCCAGTCGTACAACCACTGCTATTCAAAAAACTTTTCCATTACTACTGATCACACTTCCAAGATTCATTAAAACTCGTCCCATTTAAGTCCAGCACTTACCACTACCTAGTCTTAGAAGCAGTACATCCTGCAGCCTCCTGTTCAAGTCTCTGAGCTCTTTCATTTCTGACACGAGCGCCCCGTACTCCTTTAGCTTCTTTGCCTGTTGCACAAGCTGCCTCCGCGTTCGCTCGAGCTCCTGCTGAATGTGCCTCATTTCTTCTTGCTGCTGTTGGTAACTCCTCAGCAATTCTTCATACAGAACCCGAGGAACTACAGCATCGTCCATGTTGTTCATGCCTTCCGAAGTCTCCATAAAAGCTTCCTCGGGGCTGGAAGTATTACTGAGACTCATCCCATTTTGTTTTTCAAGGCGAGCAACAACTGCTTCAATACTTTTGTGTGTTCCTTCGTTTTGTTTCCTCCCATCTTGTCTCTGCGTGTTACAATAAACAAAAAAGAAAGGCAAATTAGAAGAGCAGCACATAACACAAATAAAAATTCTACAGATTTGTGAATGGTTAAGAACTATTCTTACAAAAAAGCAAGACAAACTGCCTGCAAAAATGTTTTGCCTAACAGATTCTTATGGAAACCTACACCATAACTATTATGCACGCATAATTTAGCTAAGTGCACATACACACTTCTGAAGCAGCTAGTGGCCTTGCTTTCCCTATCGTCAAAGACTTGCAAGGACTGTGTTGTAAGTCACTTAATTCTATGCACAAAGATAATTTATGTCTTTAAAAATTTTAAAAGAAAAAAAAAAAAGCGTGGCTCAGGATCTGCTTCTTTGAAGCTTAGCCCTAACGTTCTGATTTCCTACAACACTGGGATTTTACATTAAGTAAAAGAAAGAATCAATTATACGTTATGTTTGTAATTACACCAGAGATGAAAGGAGGATACAATACAAAGCTGTTTCAAGAACAGAGGGCTTGCCCTTCCCACATTTTGGGACACTAAACCTTCTCTGACTACACTTCTAGTACATTCACCCACATGCCTGATGCAAGTGGCTGAGCTAACACTATCTGCAAAAGAGGGAATTGGGAACATAAAAGTTGGAGACAGAATTTATCATGTAGCCTCWTTTCCCTGATCAACTGATTCCTTCTGTATTAGTACTGCATTGCAGAGGCTTTAGCTGCCGTTAACTTTCAGCAGGAATTCACCTTTGGTCTTCTGCACAAAATCCAAGTCCTACATAAATAAAAGCATACCTCTTTTATGAGGCCTACATGGCAATATTAAAATGTAACAGTATGGGTAAAGGTCTCTAGGTTTTATTAGCCAAATATGGAAAAAGCATTTGAACTTCCAAGCAACTGCAAGAAAGCAAATGTAGCTCGTAGGTTAGAGACAAGAAGCTGACACTATCTATTCCCATACCACAGTATCCGTGAGTAATGTGGCAGAAAATGAGATTATTTGATGTTAGGCCTGCTCCACGCATGCTCTAAAAAATGCTGGCCCACCATAAAGAAATTTACTGGTATCACTCCTGCAGCTGCGAAACACATGAAGCCACAGAGCAGTATTTTATTCTGAAGGTTGGCAGAGTTTTAAAGAAATYGTCTGATACCAAAAAAATAAATACATTTACATAGTGGGTTTTTGGCATCTGGACCTAAAAAGGCAACTGGCAGTTACACTGGAGGGCTGCAGCCTTGTCAGTTTGTTTTCTTGCCCGCTGTTCTGTTAGGGAAATCTCCTTTCAACAAGCAGAGCGCAACAGGTCACACGTGCCCCTGAGAAGAGCTGCTCAACATTCAAGTAACTGGTGACTTTTAAAGCATTCCGGGCCCCGGGGAAGCTGCATGGATCCCAAAATCCCCAATGACAATTAACGTGTGGCAAGAGGATAACAAGAAGTATGTTCATGCACACATGAATCGAGGTTTCTGAAAGGCTCATCTGTAAACTCTGGCCCTCACCCCATCCCCCTCCATCCATCTCCCCAATTTGACCCAATTACATCAAAGAATGTTTATGGGGGATCAAAAGCAGGCCTGGACTTCTTAGGCTATAACAGCTGTATATGCCCCAAGCACTTCCAAAAAAAAGAAAAAAAAAAAGAAAAAAGAAAAAAAGAAAAAAAAAGAACAGAAAAAAAGGAAAAAAAAGACTTCAGTACCTTACTGTGTCTAAGCTCCACATCTTCTTCCCCATAATCTGTAACCTCCCCAGCTTCTTCTACGTGATTGAGAGAGAGTTTGGGGATTTTAATTTTCTTCTGCATCACACTGTTCTCAAGGTCAGTTTTGTCTTCTAAAATGTATATTAAAAATAAAATTGTTATATTAAGCAGTGTTCTTACTTCCAAATGCTACATGATTTAGGCAAGACCAGTTTAAAAAAAAAGAACAAAAAAACAAACAAAAAACTCCCATGCTCCAATCCATTCATAATACTATGGATCAAATTAATCCATGTAACTCAGCTGATAYCCACTGACAAGTCTAGAGTTTCAAAAGGGTATCAATCTGGCCATAAATATGAGTAAATATCCTAAAAAGCCAAGATAAATTTATGTGAGAATGATCAAATGTGTCAATGAGTAGCTAYTACTATGACTAAAATAAGAGAGATGCTGTAAATCAGACAACGTCCTAAAGAAAAAAAAATTACTTTATGTTTACCAACTCTATTTTCATATTCACAGTCTGTTGTTGCACTTCAAATTCTGCTTTGGTTTAAAGTGGAAGTGAGTTTTGTCATTCGTGCTTCGCTCTAACCATCAGCTGTCAGCAGCGCAGCTCTATTTGCACACATGGCAGACCTGGGTGTTCTGCAAAGGGCAAGGCTGGAAAAGGGGATGCTGCAGGACACACTGAAGAGGCATTAGAGAAAAGCTACACAGAGACCGGATCAGTACCAGAATTCCTATGCTACCTGTATGTGATTCATTAATGATCYGAATCCCTGGCCTTCAGATGCACAAAACCAATAAATGGTCGTAGTGATCTCGGAATCAAAGCGTGTGTAAGTGTGTGTAGGTGGGGRGGCGGGTAGGGGAGTGGAGGGAAATCGAGTAAAAAGTTTCTTCAGGCTGAGAGATTCTGAAATATGTCAAAAGAATGTCCAAAATAAGAAATTCAAAAGCATTATGTTGCAACATTTGAAAGATTCTAAATATTCCTGAAAAGGATCACAGGAAAGAGAACTAAGACTCCCCAAACATGCATCTCATCTTGAAAACTCTAGCACAGCACACAGTGTCTGAACTGATACACAAGCCTGGCTACACGCTCAAGACACTCACAAGGAGAGAAGCATTTAAATTCTGAAGTGTTGTATTTGTACACTGAAAGCTTATGAATAAGAAAACATTTTGAGTCTTTTATCCACCTGCAAACTGTAATCCAAGAAATGTCCCATGAATATTTTTGAAAGGGCCAATGAGGATGCCATTTGTGAGTGCTTAGTTGCATTGACTTATACTTTCTCAAATTAGCATCTCTCCGCAGGACCTCAAAATGGTTAGTGTTGACAGTGTAGAAAAAGGAAACAAAGGTAAATCACTGTTTAATGAGGAGCAAGGCATTCATTAGAAATGAATTACACAGATGAATGCAATTCATTTTGTTACAGATAGAAATGGATCTCTTGTAGGCAAATGGTGATATTACAGCCCAAGGCTGTGTAAAGACAATAGGCACAAAACACGCAGAATAAGACATTAGACAACCTGAAATGAAATGCAGATGGTAGCAATAAATACTAAGACAGATGCAAAAGGAAACAGATAAACAACAAAAAACAACTAGGCYTATTTGAGATCATTCTCCATTCCCTAGAGCACCACGGATGCTTATTCCGGTTAAACAAAAAGGCAATCCAGCTGTTTAAATCTGAAAACTACCTTTTCATTTATCTGAAAAACGTAGATGCGTCAGAAAAGTGAGATAGCCCATTTCTACTGTCAAAAAGTTGAAATGAAAATTAGAGAGCCCTAAATGAGGTGGAGAAAAAAAAAAAGCTAAAAAAAAAAAAAGCTAAGAAACGCTATGAAGGAGAGACTGATGGAATAAACAAATACATGAGGAACGAAAACCAAAATCTTTCTCCTTGAGTATATTTGGGGGCACCCGACAGGCTGGCRGCTCCTTTGCTAAAAGGTGTCCCTATTTTCTTTCAGGAAGAAGAGCACATGCACACCACGGACAGCCTCTCTATTTGCTCTGCCAAATCACCTTCCACAARACCTGCAGCGGAAGCACTCCTGCAGCTAAAGAACGTAGAACAGTTTCTACGGTTCAGAATAACCCTTGGCCTCTTATCAGGATGGATACAATTCATCTGCTTCACCTAGCCATCAAAACGGTCTGCTGGGCAGGACTTCATGGTTAGAACGAGCCAGAAGCCCAGGCAAACCGGGGAAGGCCACGAGTCAGCTCCAGAGTGTACAAATACGTGCAAAAGTTAGCAGATACTTTCTGACAATAATTTGTAAGAACAGAAATATTTATCTCTTCATTTTTGTTTTTTAAATTTTAATTCAATTTCTAAAGGTTACAAACAGGATCAATTCCCAGAACAGCAATAAAAAGGAAATATTTAATTTGGGGTCTAGTAAAACAATGCAAATTTATCCAAATTCCTCATTGCTGCCTCTCCCAGTATCTCAGTCTGACCACAAAAATCTACYTCTGCAAAACTTTACTTAAGGTAAAGAAGTAAGAAGACTTAAGGCAGAAGTTTATACATTTCCCAACCAATGTTTAATTGGTAAATTATTAGTGTCTAATTGTCTGTCTGCAAGGTTCTCTGTCATGTTTCACAAATCTTTCCATTTCTTATATTTTACAGCTTCTCCTGTATCTGCATGTTGAAGAAAGGTATTTATTTTTTCCACATAAAATTTGAAGAAACAATGTTAAAAATGAGTTTATATAATTTAAAGCTCAGGATTTTAATTCATTCAACTAGCCAAGAATTTTTATGTTTGTCTGCCTTCCAATTAACAGGACATRAAATATTTTCTTATATATGTTCTGTTTTTGTAGACCTATTTATACCTAATACAATTGATGGAATGTGTTGAATATGAAAAAGCTTTTCTTTTTCCTCCTTTTTTCTTTTTTTAGGTACTAAACTCTGTTGTTTTGCTCCTTAATTGCAAACATGGCTAGAAAAATCTCATTCTGAATTTGAGGATATGTTGGAATATTGGCTTTTGTTCAGTAAACACTAATTGAATTGGTGGGAGGCAGGTAATGGCAGAGAGGAGAGGATCAGAAGAGGAGAAATATGAACATGCATTTAGAGAAGTTCCTATTAGGATGTTATTTCTCTTGTGCTAGGCTACAAGGGACATGTGCAAAGCAGGAATCCAGCAAAAAGACATGCATAACTTTCAGCTAGAAGAAAATTAGGATATGAACCTAACCTATGAAATGGCTGGGCAAGCAGAAATTCAGTGCCCTAAAGCTACACAAAACACTAGGAGTTGAAGCAACAGCCATATAAGTGCTGTAGCTTACAATCTTATTTTGTAAGGACAATGCGAGTCATTTGCCCAGACTTTGTCCCCTGCTACAAGTTATAGCCCTTCCAAACCCRCTATACAGGTTAAAAATTACACCTCCTCTTATGTGGTCATGATAAAATTGTTGTGAAATTGCATCTATTCTTTCCTCCATGTATGGAATCAGTGATTCAGTGACACAGCTGCTGAGAACTAGTACATAACACACCTAATTAGGTACCTGCCACAAAATAAACAGGGCAAAAAGGTGGTACGAGCACCAGTCACAGTGGGTACAGAGTATGTGGCTGCAGAGGGAGCACAGTGGATGGGTATCATTTCTCCCCATGCAGCCACCTAGCAAAGCTGTTCACATAAGCMGAGAAAAGGAGCTGCAGAGACTGCTCAGCGCGGCTCAGAGTGGCTGGGAAAAGACATCTGGATTCGGCASCACCAGAAAAGAACAGCACTGGAGAATCGGTATCGATGAGCAAAGGATAAACTGTTCCTGGAACTTTTCCTTCGGTCCGCTCTTCATTTTAGTGTCAGGATGGGTGGATCTGGGCCAAAAGGTAACAGCTCTAAGTCTACAAAGGCAGGGAACTGAGGCAGACGAAGAGAATTTGAYGGGGCAGGAAGTCAGCTGGTTACATTTAGTAAAAATATGCTAAAACTGAAAACCATATCCTGGCATGGGCAGTGTCTCCATTCCTTACTTTATAATTTCAGAGTAAGGCCTGAATAAACTAATCCTTCAAAAAAATAGTTCAAAGCTGTTTTTTCCACCTTTGGAGTAAAAGCTGGAAAACTAGAGAAGCTCTGCACTCCAAGTGAATGAGAGATGGCAGATCTGGGATCTGTCCAAATAAAGGGGTTGGCAGTGCCATAAATCTTACGATAATAAAACAAGAGAACCTTGAGCAAAATTTGTCATTCCCTTAAACCATCAAAAAACTCCATCCCTTGTGAAAATGATCTACTGACAGTTTGAAAAAAAAAATAGCATTAACCCTTCCTATTTTTAGGTACACAACCAACACATATGGGCAACAGCAGTACAAAGCTACCCCCTCGCTATTCTAATTTAGACGGATGGCTTCCACAGAGCAGAGAATCTTTACCTCTGTACTACACAGAACTTACACCCAAGATGAAAGACGCTGAAAAAACTAACACACACAACCAAAGGTACATTTGGCCCTTCAAAATAGACATACCTGAAAGGAGCACAACAGGGCATGGATTTCTAACTGCCACTTAAACACAAGAAACAATATTGCTGTGACTGGGAAAGCACATGGCATGATAAAACAAAAAGGTTAGCCAGCTTACTTAAAAATTGCAAAAAAAACCCATAAATTGCGTTTTTAGCTAATTTATTGCATACATCGAGGAGAATGGATTTTGACAAGGAGAACAGAAGAGATTTAATAAAGAGGCAATGATCATGCAGGCTCGGAAGGTGGTTAGGACAGTGAGGGAAAAACCCTTGCAAAAAGCTTCTTCAAGCTAATAGCACASTGAGATTAAGATCCCTAAAGCAAGAAAAACAGAATGTTAGTGACAGACAACATAGGATAATGAATGACAGAATAAACCTAAGAGTTGTCTGAAGAGGACAGGTGACAAACCAGATACAGCTGAAAAGGGGAAGGCCAAAGAGGGATTCAAYAGGGTGTTGACACAGTCAATTTACCATTGGTGGAAAAAAAAAATGTAGTTTACTGTGTAGTTTTGTACTGTTTTGAAGACTTGAGGAGAACTTTGTCAGAAGGACAGTGCAAAGGAGATTACAGAAAAA